TGACTGGTTTAAGGGCCAGATGGTTTTCCAATTTTCCATACCACTCCAATTTCCATGCCACTCTCCTGTCCTTCAATGGCCAAGTGTCTGTTTAATGTTCACTTGGTTTTGGCATTAATGTTGATTGCCCTTTTCTGTTGCTGTTCGTTGTTATTTTTTCAAACCCCAGCATTTTCGAGCAATTGTCGTCTCTCTAATAACCCCGTTCTCTACCGCATCTCCTTCAGCACTCAGAAAATTTCCCATGAATAGGGAATCATATTACAAAATACCATTGCCATTCAGTCAACGATCCTAACACGGCCAACCCCTTTTCCACCCATTCGCAACGAGTGTTCATGATAGATAAATAATCGAATTTCAATGCAAACGAAATTCTTCAATTTGTTGTCTTCATGAACTTCGGAAGAACAACAACAACTACCACAGTAACTACAACTTAAATCAACTCAAAAATAAATTTATTAGTAAGAAAAATTGACTTGTTCCAAAGTTGTTTTGGAAGAGTATTCAAATGATTGCAGGGGTATTGTTCAGTTTCCAAGGCTTTGCAGACAAATGCAAGCTGAGAACTGCAATAAAATGCACAGCACTTCTTTTGCCAGCAGTTAAAGTTGTTGATTTGAGAGGGCCGAGAGGGAACCCGTAAATAACCAGAAATTGCTTTATTGTCTGGACAAAATGTATTTGTCAGAGTTTTGTGAAAGTGAAAATTTGATAAATTGCATTTAAGCATTCAATGAAAGACTGGAAGTTGTAGAGAGTGCTGTGAAATAAATTTTGAAAAATTAGAGCATACTTTTAGGCTATATTAAGAGTTTTTATATTACTACCTTTTTCTAAGCAAATGAGAATGAAAAAATGAAAATAAGAGGTGATCAAAAATAAAAGCATACTTTAAGGATTTCCGATCTTATGTTTTCCATACAACCTCCCATACCCAATACCTCATATTTTAAACACTTTAACTTTCCTCAATGCAGGAAAAACGAAAGTTATCTTCATATTTTTTTTATTTCTGCCATTTATCTTCCCCATTAAATATGAAATATTCACAAAAGCTAAAAGACCGCACCATGGAGAATTCCAATTGCCAAAAAATATTTCATTTCACTTGCCATGGAGTGGCTCTTCTTAGTGCCATCTATTTTGTTGGCCAAAAACTGAAGGTATTTAAATTGTGTCGTTTTGTTTGTCTTTTGGTCACCCAAAGGTATTGTTTGGACCACCCTCAAAGTATGCTGCAAAAACACTTGCCAAACTAAAAGTTTATGTTTTGAGAACAAACAACAAAATATAAAACAGAAAATTGAAAGGCTAAGAAAAGTTTCTGTTTTTCTTTTTTTTTTATTAATATTAGAAAAAAAAAATACAAATACTTCTACTCAAGTAACTAATTACTTGGCAATTCCTATATGAAATAGAAGGTCTGTAATCCAAGGTTATCTCAGGGCTGATTATCCATTTTCCATGGCCCTGAAACCCAAACCAAACAATGGCCATCCACAGATATTTTTTTTCATATTTTTTTCATTTCAAGCCAACAAATTATTCACAATTTATAACACACACACTCACAAACCATTCAGGAGGAAGAACAAGCACACAAATTAATTGCAAATCCATAAAAACTGGAAAGGAATGAATGAAAACTCATATCGGAGGAAAATTATGATTAATCATAGGCTGGGGAATTGTTGGAATTTATTCAATGCCCATCCTGAATAAATGGAAGTTTTATTAAAAAAAAGAAACATATATAACAACAACAATACATTAATAGTTTCAAAGGAAAATAAATACATTTGGGAATATTGAGCCATAATAAACGAAAAAAAAGCATAGCCTACTTTAAGGGGAACACAATTTTAGACTCAAACATATTCTTTCCCGCAATAATTTTATGGATATTTTGAAAAATTCATTTAATTTTAAGAAGATTGAATAAATATCAAAATTCACTGCATACTTTGAGGAGTAAGACAAGGAAAATTCAGTTTTTTCGGAGGGAGCGAAAATGAATGGTTGGCCAGCTAACCAATTGCGAAACGCGTCGTTACTATCATCAAAATACCGAACAAAGGGAGATACCTTTATATGGGGGCTATACGAAGACGTGGACCTGCAATGACAATTTTCTGCCCCAGGCTGTAGTATCCATTACGAACTTCAAATCCGAAATTTGAAAAAATTCCGGTGAATAATTTCAAAAAAATTCGAAAAATGTCACTGAAAATACCGAATATCGGGAGGTACCGGTATATGCGGGCTATAAGAAGACGTGGACCAACACAGACAATTTTCTGTGTTAGGCTGTAGTATCCATTACGAACTTCAAATAATGAATTTGAAACAATTCCGGTGAATAATGTCCCTTAAATTATCAAAATACCCAAAATAGGGAGGTACCGTAATATGGGGGCTATACGAAGACATGGATCTGTACAGACAATCTCCTGTCATAGGCTGTAGTATCCATTACGAACTTCAAATACCAAATTTGAAACAATTCTGGCGAAAATTGTAGCTAAAATCAACAATGTACCGAATATCGGGAGGTACCGGTATATGGGGGCTATACGAAGACGTGGACCAGCACAGACAATTTTCTGCCTCAGGCTGTAGTATTCATTACGAACTTCAAAGACCAAATTTGCAACAATTCCGGTAAAAATTGAAGCTAAAATCAACAATGTACCGAATATCGGGAGGTACCTTTATATGGGGGCTATACGAAGATGTGGACCTTCACAGACAATTTTCTGTCCTAGGCTGTAGTATCAATTACGAACTTCAAAATACCAAATTTGAAACAATTCCGATGAAAAATGTCAAAAAATGTCACTAAAAATACCGAATATCGGCAGATATCGTTATTTGGGAGATATACGAAGACATGGATCTGCAAGGAAATTTTTCTGTCATAGGCTGTAGTATCCATTACGAACTTTAAATACCAAATTTGAAACAATTCAGGTGAAAAACGTCTCTAAAATCAACTAAGTACCTAATATCGGGAGGTACCGTTATATGAAGGCTGTACCAATACTTGGACCAATATGGCCAATTTTCAATACCAAAAGCCCTGCAGACATAATATACATTTTAGTAAAATTTTATCCAACTTCCATTCGTTCGGAAGCTAGAGTGATTTCCACAGACGGAAGGACATCGCTAAATCGACATAGAACATTATGCTGATCAAGGCTTTTTTAGGTCTAAAATGTATATTTCGAGTTGTTACAAACGGAATGACAAACTCAATATACCCTCCATACTGTGGTGGAGGTTATAAAAACATATGATCTTCCCCTTTACATGGCAAAATTCAAAAATTTAAAAATATTTTTTTTTTAATTTCTTAAATCTCCATTCAATTTTCTATTCCAATCTTTTGCTATTATTTATTCAAATCAAAACTTTTTATGGTTTCTTTAAACCAAAAAAAAAAGAAAACATTTTCCCACAAAACAAAAGCGAGGAAATGTTAACATTTTCATATATTGGCAAACACATCCGACAGCTGGGGATGGTGGAACATCCCATCATCAAACAAAGTTCAATAAGTTTTGCAGGTAAAGTGTCAATCAAAAAAATAACCCCAACAGAGGCACATTCTCTCACGATGAGAGTAAATAAATGAATGAATGAATGCCGGAATGACAACGATGTGTCATTTGGGGGTTCCATTGTGGCATTTGAATATTTTAACGGTTACATGGATTTCCTTTTAAAAGAGAAGAGAAGAGAAGAGAAAAGAACAATAGATAAAATGGTCACTCAAAGCCATTAAGGAGATAACGTCATTTGAAAGGTTTCCCTCTCAAACCACAACAAATATCAACATCAGCTCGAACGGCAAAGGAAAAGTTTTAACCCCAGAGTTCACGAGTCATGGAAATATTGACACCTGACTGTGTGGTTTTCGTATCTCAAATCCTTTTCGTCTAACCTTCATTGCGTACACTTGAAATGTAATGCCATATCTCAGCAAATATCCTTTTATTGTCCAAGGATGTGTTAAATGTGCGTAGTGAGATACAAACACACACACACAGACACATACACATACATAAATGTTAATTACGAACAATGATGTTCACAACTGTATGCGATAAGTAAAATGATTATCGTTCGTGTTGTAAACATTTCAAGGTTAAATGTAAATGATGTGGAATTAAAGCATACTTTCAGGCAGGCAATTAATTGTGTGAGTGCGTTTGTGTGTGTGGAGGTACTGAGATATTTTTGATTGTGTATTAGGAGACAGAAACTTGGATACAATTTAGGTATGAACATTTTAAAAAATGAAGCATACTTTTAGGTTGTTTTTAGTAATAATAGCTTTTTTTGGAGTTTTGAGGAAGATTTTTCCAAGGAAGTGTCCTGGTTTTGGAATAGATCCCCAATATCGTTTTCATCCATGCTTTCAGGATGTCCTGTTTATAAAGGATCTACATGATGATGATTTTGATGATTTAGGCCACATTTTTCTATGCAATTTGTGTTCTTATTGGAAGGTTAAAACCTCTCCAAAAAATCAATATGGGTCCACTTTTTGGTATAGCCTCTAAATAATTGTACTTCCTCATTTTCGATATTTTGAAGAATTTTGTCCCAATTTTTTAATCAAATCTGTTATAAATTGACATTTTGGGTAAGCATTGGCAAGCTTTACATCTCGAAAAATATATTCAAAGTAGGTCCACATTCTGGTATGGGTCCCATAAAACTGTATCTTCTGATTTTCGGTATTTTGATCTGATTTTTTCAACTAATTGAGCTGCAGTTTGATATTTCAAATTTGATTAACTCCTCTCAAAAATACCCAATATAAATATAACTCCCATACAACGATATTTTCAAATTTTCCATAAGTCCAATTTTCACTTGGCTTGGAATACAATAATAAGACGAGCCTTACGTCTGGTTTACTTATTTTATTATTATTATTTTTTTGAAAACTGTTTTATTTTTTTTTTTTTCAAACGTTCACTTACCATAACGTGCTTCCTCTCCCTCGGGTGCATGTTTGGTTATGGTATTCAGTTCCTCTTCCAAATCGACATGACAATCAGCTACGTCCCATGAGAGGAAACCTGGAAATAAAGTAACGAGAAAAAGGGGCGAAAATTAGTAAATTCTGTTATTAAAAATTATTTAAATCGTATACGTAATAATATTACATTATATTTAATTAATATCAATCATACGCCACCATCTACCTTTTATTTTAAAATAAATCATACGCACCCTCATTCATTAGTTATTGAATATTTAAAAAAAATATTTATTAAATGATTCAAATACAACCTATACCCCAGGCAATACACTTTTTGGAGAGATAATTCCAGGAAGGTCGAAAGGTCAAAAGAAGTATTTTCCATAAAAAATTGCAAAAAAATTATGAAAACTTAACAAACCGCTCCCATATATCATATCTCTAATATGGTATCAAAGAGGATACCACTACCACCCTCCACCGTAATATGGAGGGTCATTCCGTTTGTAACACCTCGAAATATACATTTTAGACACTACAAAGTATATATTCTTGATCAGCAATAAAATCTATCTATCTATAGCTGATGTCCGTCCGTCTGTGGAAATCACTCTAGCTTCCGAACAAAAAGAAGTAGGTTGATAAAATTTAACTCAAATGTATATTATATCTGCAGGACTTTCTTTATTGAAAATGGGCCATGTAGGTCCATGTTTTGGTATAGCCCCCATATAACGGTACCTCCCGATGTTCTGTATTTTGATGATGTAAGCGACATTATCCAACGGAATTGTTTCAAATTTGGCATTTGAAGTTCATAATGGATACTACAGCCTATGACAAAAAATTGTCCATGCAGGTCCACGTCTTCGTATAGCCCCCACATAACGATACCTCCCGATATTCGGTATTTTAATGATTTAAGCGACATTATTCACCGGAAATGTTTCAAATTTGGTATTTGAAGTTCGTAATGGATGATACAGCCTGAGACAGAAAATGGTCTGTGCTAGTTGACGTCTTCGTATAGCTCCCATATAACGGTACCTCCCGGTATTCGGTATTTTAATGATTTTAGCGACATTATTCACCGTTATTTTAATTCGCATTTGAATATTGTAATGGCTTGTGACAAAAGATGCCTATATACACAGTTTTTTTTGAAAATTTCCAAATTTGTTCCAAATGGTAGAGGGCATTCAAAGTTGGGTCTGGCCGAACTTGCATCTTTTTTACTTGTTTATATTTGAATTCTTCGAATAACACACTTCAAGTGTTTATAAATAACGTCTTCTTTTTTAAATCTATGCCCTTTCGGTCTCAATTACATTCTCTCTGTCTCAATTGGTTCTATAAATTTGCCACTAAAAACCTCATCTCCTCTCCATTTTCTTTGGAATTAATCATACGCATCCCATCTCGGCTTATTAAAAGTAAGCATACGCCCCCTAATTCCAAGTTATTCAAACTATTATTCATACACCTTAAATTATAATGAGAGTAAATTAAAATATTTCCACAAATTCTCCATAAAAAATAGTAATTTTTAATTTTTCTCATTCTCCCCTTGACAAAAGCACATTAAATGTCAAATGACATTTGTAGCTTTTAATTATATGATTTTTAGTTTTCCATATGGCATGTGAAATAAAAATTCTAATGAAAGCTAAATTATCAAAACAAACCCCATACACATGAGCTGATAGATAATTGTCAAAAAAAGGTAGAATTTTTAATTTCCCTTCTTTAGGATATTCCAAAAATTTGCAAGCAACAATGAAAGGATTGTCATAATATTTACCCCTAACAGGTAGATAATCTCTTAGTCTCATAATATGCCATCAACAGGGATAATGAGCAGCAAAATAACGACAACAACTAAAGCCTCTCTTCATTTGGCTTACAAAACAAAAACAAAAACAACAACAACAAAAATGCAATAATTATTCTTTGTTATCCAATTCTTTAATCTTTTAACTAAACATGCATGGAAATGTATGAAGATTTCTAATGTTTATGGGAGAGTGAAAGAGAGAGAGAGTGAGAAAAGGAGGAAAAAAGCAACATAACCTCAAATTGTTGGCCTGGAAATTTAGCAGAAAAAATGGAGGGATTACATGTGTAGACAATGCTGGCAGATACATGTATTATTTTCTGTTTTTGGTTTTAGAAGAGGTCTGCAACTATCTCTCCCTCTCCATCTCTCTCGCTCTTTCACTCGTTTGCTTTGTATCTGTGTAATAATGTATTTTAGTTTGTCTCTTCAAATAAACAATTTAATCCTTTAATAGTTAAACAGCTTTGTTTTGCAACACCCAGACAACGTGTTGTTGTTGCTTTATTGTTGGCCAGAGTACACTTTGGAACATTTGCTTCTTCCACTCTTCTTCCCCCTTTTGTTCAATGTGAGAGAAGTCTTGTTAATATTTCATGAATTTTACACCAAGACAGAGTCATGGAGCCATTAGAAATAACAATCCTATTAGAATTAGTTATGTTAAAGGAATGTCTTTATTGGATTTTATTGCGGTCCAAAAGGGTTCTTCACAAAAGGTGAGGCAGAGGGGAGAAGAAAACTGCAAATCGTAGGTACACAGGGAAACAACTCACGGAGGGTGCTTTTCAATGACTTTTGGGGAGGATATACTCAAACCAAAACCCGGGAACTGACGAGGATTGAGGGCTCCTTCCGAAGCCATAGTCTTCCATTCGTTTTTGCCGACAGATGTATAAATTCCATATTCATCTCAGGTGTCTGGTTTAGAGAAATATTTAGGTATAGCATATAAAACAAAAATTATTGAAAATGATGACCCGTTGTAGGTGAGGTACCAGAAGGGGTGCGCCAATATTTATCTCTTCACAATAGAACTTATGTTAACAAAAATGTTTGTATTGTAGAATTTGAAGGGAGTTGAATGCTTATTTCGATTTATTTTGCTTTTCAAAATTTTGAATCCTATGTGGGTGAGTTACCAGAAGAAATGTTCCGATCTAAACTATCATTATAACAGATCTTGTATTGAAGGAAAAATTGAGATGTACCAAGGCTAAATGGAATCTGTTGTTAATTTGGCGTTTCATAAGGTTTGTCGATATTCAAAATTTAGGCCCTTTGTGGGGGAGATACCAGAAGGACAGGTCGGATCTCTACCATCTGTACAACAAATCTTGTGTTGATAGAAATATTGAGATGTGCCAAGTGAATTGAATTAGCTGTTGCTTTCGCGTTTTTTTTAGCTTCAAGGATATTCAAAATTTTGATCCTTTGTCGGGGAGGTACCAGAAGGAAGTGGACCAATATATTCCATCTTCACAGCAGATTTTGTGTTAGTAGAAATAATGTGATGTGTAAAATATGAAGAGAATCGGATGATCATTTCTGATTTTATGATCGTTTTTGTTATTCAAAACCTTGACCCTTTGTGGGGGAGGCACCAGAACAAATGGTCCGATCTCTACGATTTTTATAACAGATTTTGTGCTGATAGAAATATTGAGATCTACCACGGCTAAATGGCATCTGATGTTAATCTGAGCTTCATAGATATTCAAAATTTTTACCCCTTGTGGGGGAGGTATCAGAAGGAGTGGACCGACATATTCCATCTTCACAGCAGATCTTGTGTTAGTAGATATAATGGGATGTGTAAAATATCAACAGAATCGGATGCCTATTTCGGATTTTATAATCGTTTTGGTTACTCAAAACTTTAACCCTTTGTGGGGGAGGTACCAGACGAAATGCCTCGATCTCTACCATCTCTATAAAAGGTCTTGTCTTGATGAAAATATTGAGATGTGCCAAGTTTCAATTGAATCGTATGTTGATTTCGCGTTTTTTTGAGCTTCATGGATATTCAAAATTTTGATGCTTTGTGGGGGAGGTACCACAAGGGGTGGACCAATATTGTCCATTTTCGCACTTCACGTAGCACTGATGAAAATATTAGGATTTTCAAAGTTGGAGCAAAATCGAATGATCGTTTCTCTTTCTGTGCAGTAAATTATTTTCTTCGAAAATATCGATGTTTTGTGGGGGAGGTACCAGAACGAGTGGACCGATATATGCCATCTTCACACCAGACCTTGGGTTAATAAAAAAACTGTGATGTGTGTAATTTGAAGCCAATCGGTCTGTTATATCACATTTTATAAGAAATATAATTATTCGAAATTTTAACCCATTGTGGGGGAGGTACTTAAACGAGTGGACCAATATTGTCCATTTTCGCACTTGACCTAGCACTGATGAAAATATTAGGATTTTCAAAGTTGGAGCGAAATCGAATGATCCTTTCTTTTTCTGTGCAGTAAATTATTTTCTTCGAAAATATCGATGTTTTGTGGGGGAGGTACCAGAATGAGTGGACCGATATATCCTATCTTCACACCATATCCTGGATTTACAAATATATTGCGATTTGTTTAATTTGAAGACAATCGGACACTTACGTAACAGTTGATAAGTGTTATAATTATTCGAAATGTTGACCCTTTGTGGGCGAAACATTTGATGGAGTTGACCGATATTGTCCATTTTCGCACATGACCTGATGCAATGATGTAAATATTAGGATTTGCAAAGTTTGAGCAAAATCGAATGATTCATTCTCTTTCTGTGCAGTATTTTTTTTTTTTTGAAAATGTCTACCTTTTGTGAGGGTGTTACCGGAAGGAGTGGACCGATATTGCCCATCTCCGAACTGGATCTAAGTTTGATAATAATATTACTATGTACCAAGATTGGATGAAATCCGATACTCCCTTCGGGAGTTATCGTACTCACCAGCCAGATAGACAGGCAGACGGACGGACATCGCTAGATCGGCTCCAAATGTCCTGAAACGGATTTGGTCCAAAGAGACCTAGTGTCTAAAACCGTTATTTCGATGAGGCACGTTATGGCCGTATCATATCATATATTCCCTCTCTTACCATATGGCTGAGGATATAAAAATACTACTCATACTTCGAGTGACACCATTAGGCGTATACTTGATATAAATAATAATAATACGCCACCATGTACTTTATGTCTGCTTAATTTAAACAGGTAGCGCTTTAGACTTTTAATGAGCCTTAAAAACTTTGCAG